TCTGAATTTAAATTTTGCTGCTATGGGAAATCAAAGTATTACTATTATTATTATTTTTAGGATAAGACTGGATCATGAATTAAATATTTGTCACCTTCAATTGTTAAAAAAATAATAATAATCCAGAAGGTGTTATGGTCATAATTTCTTCATGTGCTCTTCACTGACTAAATAGTAAACTCAACATTTTTTTTTTTTTTTAAACAGTTAAAGGGGGATTTATATTTGCTGTAGCAAAGACAGGAGGGATTTTATGGGACTTTAATGCATCAACCTTGAGAGCTGCCCTGTAAAACTGACCCTCTGGGGCCTCTACAGTGCAGGAGTCCCTCACATGGCTGGCCATCGGTGCAATGGTTTTTGTTTTAAGAGAGCGCGGAGCTTTGATAGAAGCCAGTTTAAATGTTGAGTGTGTCAGTAATCCCATCTGGGCGTGTGTTTGTCACAGGTCAGGCTACGGATGAATAATGTAAAGACAGGCATCTGACTGAGAGGCTGGTTTAAGGTGCTCCTCTAATGATGGCAAACAAGCTCCACCCCTGACATTTCACAGGAGAGGAGGGAGAACCAGGGAGTCAGATTAGTCTTTCAAACATCGCTCAGTTTAGTTTATAATATGAATTGTAAAAAAAGTTGCTTAATTTTTACGTAGTGTGACATCCACAACAGCTACATGATCATATTTTCTTTCATTAAACACATGCTTCTGTCTGGATGAAAGTCATGTGATCATAAATTAACCTAAAAACTGTGTCGATTAAGAGACCTCTGATGAACGTTTGAAACATCTGTGTTCAAATGCTTTTTATTGTGTTAAATCGAAGAACGGTTTTATTTGTGTTTGTGTAATCCATTTTTTTTCACATTCGAAGGAAACATTCTGTTAAAAAACAACAGCTACAAGGAGCGGAAACTACCAAAAACAAGCGCATTACAGTGTTAGCATGTAAGTTAACGGGACAGTCAACAGAGGTGTGGACTTAGGATTGTCTTGACTCACAAACTTTATGACTCAAATTGAAAGCTTTGTTTTTAAACGTTTTTTTTAATTGATTTTTTTTTTTTTTTCATTTAACACAGAACATTATAACAAAATGACAACAACAAAAACCTTCAGAGTATGTCTTATTTTTTTCTAAATGAACATGGCACATCACTTCACTTATCCAGTGCACGTATGTTGTGGGGTATGGGTTCTTCCAGTTGCACAAAATTAGCTTCCTGGCCAACAGAGAGCCAAAGGCAATCGCATCCTTCTCACTCCTGCTGAAGGACGTATCCACCCGGACCACCCCGAACAGTGAGATGAGTGGTGATGGGTGCAAAGTTTTGCCACATACTCCAGAGAAGGTGTCAAATATAGATTGCCAAAATGTCTGCAGCTGGAGACAGGTCCAGAACATACCTGTATGCAGGAGTGTAGCTGGAGCTTGTCTGCAATAGATGCATGCTGGATCCAGATTGGCCTTGATCTTAGACAGCTTGTCTTTGGACCAGTGCAGCCTGTGCACTATCTTGAATTGGATTACATCATGTCTCAGGCAAATTGAAAATGAGTGAATGTTCTTTATGATCCTTCTCCAGATTGAGTCTGATATGGGTTCTTCCAATTCCGCTTCCCATTTCAGTTTAAGGGAGTCCAAGCTGGACTCATGCTATGAACTGAGCAGTGTATACATTTTGCTGGGGGTCCCTTTAGTGTCAGACCTGCACTTTAAAATCTTAGCCACAAAAAAGCTTAGTGGGGTACAAAGGAAAACATTCAGAGTTAGAGCTCACAAAATGTCTCAACTGCAGATATGTAAAAAATTGTGACTTGTGAATATTAAATTTCTGCACCAGCTATTCAAAAGAGGCAAATCTACCATCAATATAGAGATCATGCAGTGAATGCACTCCCCTTGAGACCCAGGTGTCAAAAATTGAAAGCTATTTTTAAACAGACCTGCTAGTTAAGTCACTTTTTAACTCAATTTGAAATTGAAGCTTGCAACTCAAGTCTATATGTTTCTGTCTGATTCTATATAACCATAAAACTAAAAAAGCTGCAAAAGAGAGGAAGTCCGTCAAATACTAAGATACAGTCTTGAGTTAAATAACAAATATGATGACTTTACCTCCAACTTGACAAATACTTGGTGTAAGTTTCCACAAATTAGTTTTAGACTTAGTTTGAGATTGATTATCTTTAAAATAAATAAAACCTAAAATAATGGATGTTTCGATGCACGTCGTATGGCTCAAGTGTGTTTTTCCTGTAAGTTGATTTGTTTTTATAGCGCTGATGCAACTGGTGAGAGCGTTGCCTCGTCAAGGCAACAAATCTATCAACAATAAAACACAAAGTATAATTTATCAGTAGACTGAAGAGACTTGCTACATTGAGTTTTGTGTTTTAAACAAGACTGAACAGATGGAATAAGGACAATAAAGAGTTGTGGATGTTTTAAAATCGATCCTCCTCATCCTCAAACCTTTGGTCGAGTCGTTCTGTTTAAATCCCTGCAGAAACAGATTATTATCGCTGTAGGAGAACTTCCAGCCTGCAACTCACACTCCATCTGATTAACGCTGCTGTGCTTTGCCCTTGGGCCATGTCTGTAGCCTTGCACTGTGAGAGATAACCCGATCTGTGTTCCTCTCACTCAGAGTCCAATTTAGCAGCTCAGATGTGCGAATAATCTAGTTGAATTCTTCAAATGGGGCAGAATCTCAAGGTTAGGCCCAAATGCAAATCAATTTTCCAGCCTGAAATATGACAAAGGATTCTTATTTTGACAAAAAGGGAGTACTGTAATTCACGAGAGTCCAACATTTGGTAAATAAAATGCCATAACTGTCATTTGCTTAAAGCATTTTATGTCTTCCCACATATTTAACTCTAAAGCCCACAAAAAATATAAAAATAAGCAATTGTTGCTTTGATTGTATCTTTTCTGGAATCATTTGGAACAATCTGCTCAAAGTTTAATTATCTATTAATTGTTTGGGGGGGGGGGGTGTATTTAGTATTTTGTCAGACTAGCTTCTGTGATTATCTCGCTGGACGTGTTTTGTCGCGTGCATAATTCATCAGGGAGCATGTTGTGAGTGGGTGTGCTGCAAGATCCACCTAATAGAGGGGATACACCGCTGAATACCAATGCACAGACCAGTCAACCCACACCGAGAGACAAGACACCATGTTTCTGTTTGAAGTGTGTGTGTGTGTGTGTGTGTGTGTGTGTGTGTGTGTGTGTGTGTG